GAGCTTGTATCTAATCCTTAAAAGAGTTTAGGGTTACCTCTTCAGAGGGGGGAATGTTGGCGGGGAGGGAGTGAGCATGGATTTGATCAAAACCCCTTATATGCATGTATGAAATTCTCAATAAAGTTTTTGTAAAAGTTAAAAAAAAAATTCCACCAAAAAAAAATCAGAACCTTGATCCCAAGAAAGAAAATAAATGTTATGATCAAAGTTCTTCAGAGAAGAAAATTTTCATTCTTACCAAAAGTGGAAAGGCATATCTAACTTCAAATCCTGTGTCAAGCCATGAACTCATAGGATTTGGTGTCTGGACAAAAGATGGCTTTCCATATCCAAAATAAATAAAGAAAGGAAGATGTGAAGACCAGACCTGGTGGCACATGCCTTTAATTCCAGCAGGCAGATGCAGGTGGATCTCTGTGAGTTTGAGGCCAGCCTGGTCTATACATCAAGTTCCAGGCCAGCCAGGGCTACAGTGGGACCCTGTCTCAAACAAACAAACAAACAAACAAACAAACAAACAAACAAACAAAAAGAAGAGGTAATTTTCCTGTAAATCATATGTGATTGTGAGTACAGACACATGCATGTGTGTATACTAGAATACAAAGTGCAACACAAATCTTATGACAACTGTCTTCATCTAATAGGAGAGGTTGCTCAGGTTTATATTTTGGAAACCTACTATATCTAACAGACTAGCTGTAAGTATTTAAAAACATTGTTATTGGCGTGCAATATTAAAAAAAAAACAGCTGAAGATAATAAATGTTTCTACCAGATAAAGTGTTCTTTTAAACAGAAGAGCCAATGTAAAAGTCTATTCACTATTAGGCAAGGACTTTGTAGAAACCCACTCCTAAAATATCTTTAGAGATATCATATCTGTGACCCCACCTCTATGAGGCGATTATAGGTATAATCCAAAAGATTGCTGGCAAGTCCCATACTGCATATGTTTGAAAGTATTTATACAGTATTATCTGGGAGAAAGGTTTGGCTTCTGAGATTATGAGATGAGGATGGCTGAGTGCTTGAGGGCACCACAGGCGTTGGTCATTGGTGACATCAGTTTATACCTCAGTACTCGCTTCAGGACCAATTACACAGCAGAGACTTAATAAACTAATGGAAATTATGTACATGCTAGATGATGAGACGTTAAGGTCCATTTTAGAGCCTGCCATGATGGCTCAACCTGAGTTTGATCCTAGGAACCCACGGTGGAAGAAAAGAACTGACTCCCAAAAGTTGTTCTCTGATCTCAACATGTATGTTACACATGCACACACACACACACACACACACACACACACACATACATCTGCATGCACACATGTACATGTGCACACACACAATAAGTAAAAACTTTTTTAAAAATTTAATTTACAATATACAATCATATTTATAGATGCAATCTCGCCTTGGCAGAGAAGAAAGCCAACTGTGGTTGGAACATGTCTGCAAACATGCATTACCAACAGTACTTATAGCACCAACTAAGGAGGGTCTGTGGCACAAGACAGCAGCTCTCAAACGACACCTGAAGCAGAAACCCTCTGAGAAATATTAATGGTCCTAGGTGTGAAAAGACAGACCTTTCATCTTCTCAGAGTCTGTGCTTTTCTATTTACAGTGGCCTCAAACGGCAGGGTGTTTGTGATTAGCTAATACAGCCCTAGGTGGGACTATTTATTTCTTGAATAAAGTTGTCTTTAACATATTTTAAAACGGAATACACTTTTAAAACACAGTTAAAGGGCTGGAGAGATGGCTCAGCAGTTAAAAACACTGGTTGTTCTTGCAGAAGACCCGGGTTTGAATCCCAGCACCCACATGGCAGCTAACAACTGTCTGTAACTCCAGTCCCAGGGGATCTGACAGCCTCTTCTGACTTCTGTGGGCATTGCATGACACGGGTGCACTTACCTACATGCAAGCAATACACACATACACATAAAATAAAAGTAATAAAATTTTTTTTCTAAAAACTCAGTTAATAAAAATAAATAAATAAACTTCAAAGACAGTTGCAGTAAACCTGGTGTACATGCCTTTAATCCCAGTACTTGGGAGGCAAAGACAAGTGGATCTCTGTAAGTTCAAGGCCAGTCTGGTCTACATAGTAAGTTCTTGGCCAGCTGGGGCTATATGGCAAGACCTTGTCTCAAAAAAAAATGGTTGCAGTAATGTGGTATAAAGTTGGGTTACTGAGGATGGAGTCCTAAGGTAGAGCTTGGCTTCAGAACAAATACTTGAATTTCAAAAAGTTGACTAAAATCAAGTATTTCTCATTGTCTCCAAAGAATGCTGATTTGCCCTTATTCTGTCCTTGATTATCTTAAACCAGAGAGTTAATTATATCAAATAATTGGTAACCCAAATTTTCTATTAACAGACTAAAACATAAAAAAACCCTACTTCTAGCTTATTTTTATAGACACTATTTTAAAAGCAGCTTTGGAAAAAAGAAGAAATAAAAAATAAATAAGCACTGAGTATCTACTGTCAAATGAATTATGGAATACTTTAATGTGCTATATGTTAAATATTACAACTAAAAGTAACAATCACCACTTCAAATATTCACCATTAGTTTTATACACAGCTTTTATCTTGTTACTAATTATATGACAATTACAACAGACATTTGAAACTATTAATGTCATCTGTAAGAGAACTAAACTAAAATTACATAGAAGCATTGTAAATAAGAGGCAAGTTATTTTAACCACTCTGTGCATTCATGTGAATACCAAAGAATGAAAATCATAACAAATAGTTATAGAAGACTATTTTGGAAAGGATTAAAATATTATAAGGAGTAGGAGCTGGGAAGACAGCTTAGTGCCTGCAGTAAAATCATGAAGACATGAGTTTGAATACCCAGCACCCATGTAGATAGCTGGGAATGGTGGGCATGCATGTAATCCCAGCGCTGGGGAAATAGAGATAAGACGATCCCTGAACTAGACTTGCCCAATCAATAAGCTCCAAGTTCAGTGCAAAGCTGTACCTTCAGTGCCAAAGTGCTCATGTTCCAGTAAGCAAACTGTAACTCAGGCCCCTGTAAACAACCCTAATGAAACTCGTTAGAGTCCCTCAGAACACACAAAGACATGAAAGTACAGGGAAGCTGTTTGGAGAGAGGAAGGGGATTAGCAGGAGTACCAGAGGGAAACGTGTGTGTGTGCCTGTGAATATGACTAAAATACATTATGTACATAAAATGTCATAATGAAATCCATTATTATGTATAAGTAACATGTTAATTAAAATTACCTAATTATTTTTAAATCATGGAGCTCCAATCCAATAAATGAGGAGCTATTACTGGTGGTTGACAGCTGCTGGGGGAGGGAGAACCAATTTTCTTTGGGGGTGGGGCTGCTAGTAGGTTGCCTATGCTCTGGTAGATGGCCCCATACACATGTACATACATGCAGGTAGTACTAACTGGACTCAATGAGTCATTTGAAGAAAAAGAGGACATGAAGGTGGGAGGGGAACGTGGGAGGGGAGTGGGAGGAGGAAGTTGGGGGAGTTATATGATCAAGACACTTTGTATACATGTATGAAATTGTCAAAGAATAAAGATATTTTTAATTAAAAATAAATTTAAAAGATGGGGAACAGAGGCCGGGCATGGTGGTATATGCCTTTAATACCAGCACTCAGGAGGATCTCTGTGAGTTCAAGGCAGCCTGGCCCACATAGCAAGTTCCAGGCAAGCTGGGGCTACAGAGAGACCCTGTCTCCAAAAGACCGAAAATAGAAAAGATGGGGAACAGAAGAAGACATTCGACATTCACCTCTGGCTTCCACACACATGAATGTGCTCTTGTACATATATGCATGCACACACATGTATATACATATACCACAAACATGTGAAAGAGAGGAGAAGAGAAAGGCACAGAGAGACAGAGGGGGGAGAAAGAGAGAAGGGAAGGAGGGAGAAGTGATTGAGGAACACTTGATATCAACATCTGGTCTCCAGAGGCACTTGTACCCACACATGCACACTCACACACAAACATACACAAGCACAAAAAACAATTACAAGAGAGAAAGTTTACAAACCTTTGAGGATATATGTGAAATAAAAAGATAATCAGGACATTTTTTCCTAAAAGTTATAAAGAATGTAAATGTCTCATAATTTGTTTTAAAGAGGGAAAGAAGGATACATTTTAAGGTACAGCCAAGTTCTATAGTGCAAATGCACCAATACTGTGTAGCTTATATTTTAAGGTTTAAAAATGTAATTTCAAACACATATTAAGGTTTAATATATCTATCTCCACCAAAGTAGAGCATGTTCTTCCCTCTGAAATGTATATCAGCACATTAAGTGGGGCTTGCTGTGGGATTAAGCCACAGGATGCAGGTAGACTACAGCCCCCTCTGCCTTTTCTATTTCTAGTTTGTCATTCTTGGGTAATATCAAGAAATGCGTGCTTTCAAAAGGCTGTTCACCTTTTTTGTTGTTGTTTTGTTTTCTAGAGATGGAGGTCCCAAGCTGGTTTTGAACACTTGAGCTCAAATGATCCTGCAGCCTCAGCCTCCTGGGATTAGGTATGTATACATGCCCAGCTTCTATTCCTCATCTTCCATCCAGTGCATTCTGAACACTTTGACATTTTCCTCCTAAAGCTAGTATCTCAAAGTGTGCTTTTCAAACCACTTGTGAAAAGATCAGCCATGTAAAAAAATCCAATTCCTCAGTCCACTTGAGCTTCCCAAATCACTCTGATGAAAGCCAGGATTCTACAAGGATTTCCCACAAATTCACCAGGTGTTCATACACATTGAGGATCACTACTTTTGTTGTTCTTGAAATGAAGACAAAGAAATGTATCTGCTTCTCCTGCATACCATAAGCTTGCCCATTACAAACACTGTATTGTGGACCTCTAGGATTCCACAAACAATCTTCATAATAATACTAAGGCACTCATTATGTTTTTTAATAAATTTTATTTATTCTCTGAGAGTTTCACACATGTACACAGTGTTTATTTTTTTAACTACCATTTTCTCATGAGTGTTCAGTAGTAATTTCTAGAAGCCACATGACAACAGTAGTCTGAAAGCCCTAAATACTCATTTGTTTTCTAACTATTTAAGTGTGGCTGAATTTCTTTTCATATACTTCACCAAAACAACATACTGTAAAAATAGAATGACAAGGTCTATATGATAACATAGCTGTCTTTCACTAAGTCAAATACTCAAGAGACTTGTAAAACACACACAACGACAAAAGTAAAAACATGATTTAGTAGATTTTTTTAGAAAATACATGTTTATTTGTTTGTTTTTTCATTTAAACATGTTATTTGTGAGTGGGCATGGTGGTACACGTCTTTAATCCCAGCACTAGACAGAGGCAGGTGGATCTCTGTGAGATCAAGGTCAGCCTGGTCTGTATTGCAAGTTCCAGGCCAGCTGGGGCTACAGAAAGATCCAGTCTTGCCACACCACCAGCTGCTGCCACCCCTCCACTCTTCCGGTGCTGGGTGCTGTCTCGGAGCGCTGCTCCTCCGTTTGCACAGGCGCCACCTGCTATCGCACGGGCGCTGTCTGTGAGCATGGGCACCGCCTCCTGGGCACCGCCTCTGATCACCCTGGCACTACCTCCTGGGTGCTGCCTCTGATCACATGGGTGCCACCCTTTGTTCCTCGTTGAGGCCGCAAGCTGTGGCCACTCTTCCGCTCCCTGGGAGCTGAGGCAGCTCTTCTGCTTGTCCCAGGCTGCCTCTCACTTCTTCTGTCTGGTCCCGGACCCCAGGGCTGGTGAGGAGACTGTGTCAGCAGAGTCGCATTCAGACACAGGAGACCAGGTTCATTGACACTCACCTGGTTTATTGTAGAAGAGCACAAGCTTATATAAGAGTAGGGGTCCAATCAAGAAGTTACAACTTAGATTTTTGGCAGGGCTATGTCCTATCATGACATCGGGAGCCAGACACCTCATTAGCATAACAGATTTTAGGTTACTTAGGTTCTGGTTTCCTTATAGGGCCTGGTTCCTGTCTAAGTGTTGCAATTTGGATCTCAAGGGTGGTGATTAGGGATTGGAGGGCTCGAGGCATCAGTCTCATGCTCTGCCAATGGGAGAAAATGTCACAAGGCGTTCCTTGTGGCTCCATCAGTCAGGCCATTGCCTCAGACCTGCTGTATGGCTGTCAACAAGACTTTCACCCTAGGCTCAAGCCTGTCTCCCACACAGTCTCAAACAAAAAATGTTATTTTTTTATATGATATGAGCTAATTAGGCTCTTGTATCTAATGTGATATGAGCTAATTAGGCTCTTGTATCTATGGTAGTTAATTCTAAAATTCTGTAATTATTTTTAAATATTCAAAAGTATCAGGAGATATAATCCTATGAATAAAAGCACTTTACAGTTCTCAATAATTTTTTCAAAAATGCAAAAGAGCACTGGGGGAGCATAGTCACCTATAATTCTCCTCAACGACAGACCCCGCGTGCTGCACTACCAACATACCAAACAAGATGCTCTTGCTGGAGCAACAGTGGAGCATCCAGTGTATGTACAACCAACAAATTTTTGATTGGATATAATGCTCGCTCCTAGGGGTGGAACACACATCTGGTACTATAAGCCTGGCCAACCCCCTGTGGCAGAGGAGAATATAGGCCCCAATGGGAAGTCATTGCAATTGCTTTATTAGATGGAAATGATGTGAAGTACCAACCAAGCATTTGTGTTTATACCCAGAGGTTAAGTTATTATAGCAGTCACTGTTTAGATGTTCTTGCTTCTTGCTGTGTGTGTTTTTATAGTAGATGGAATCCCACTGAAACTGGCCAAAAGCCCATGGAAAATAAATGATGCAGAGACCTGAAAGTTCAGCGCCTTGCCACAACAGGAGGACGATCATCCCACACCCACCACCCTCTCCAAGGCTCAGGGACTTTTGTGGAAGTAGATGGCAGAAAGAACGTTAAGAGCCAGAGGAAGAGGTGGAGTGTTAACTGGAAATATCCTCTGACCACTATGCCAACAAGCTATAGTCACACCTCCTTCCCATGCTCATCAAGGAGTCAAGGGGGAAGTGATTTGCCCCTCACACCCAATCAGTTGACCTTAGTTGCATGTGGGGGAGGGGCAAAGGATATATAAGCTGAGAACACCAAGAGGCACCTCTCTCACCATTTTGTGTGGCTGTCGGGAGGTCACAAGATCTGTATTTGAGTGTGGACTTTACAGCAAAGCCATAAATGTGGGGTGCCCACTCTTCCGTAAATAAACCCCTACCCTATGCTGTTAAAAAATAATAATAAGTAAATTTTTTTTTAATGCAAAAGAGCCCAAGATAAAAAGTTTTGAGACCTAGGGCTAAAGAGATGGCTCAGTGAATAAAGTGCTTGTCACACAAGGAGGAAGATATGAGTTCAGATCCCCATAATCCACATAAAGCCAGGCATGACTGTGCATGTCTGTAATCCCAGTGTTCCTACAGTGAAATGACAGGTGGTAGACACAAGAGAATCTCCAGGAGTTTGTATGCTAGCTAGCCAAAAAGCCTTGCGTATGCAACATTGAACAAGAGACCTTGTCTCAAGGTAAAAGGCAAGGTCAGACCAACACCCAAGGTAGTAGTCCTCTGACCTCCACACATGTACCATGGCACATACATGCCTACACTTACACACAAATGGATACACAGACACACACACACACACACACACACACACACACACACACACACACACTTTTTTAAAATGGGGGAGCCAGTGAGATGACTCAGCAGGAAAAAGAACTTGCTACACAAGCCTGATGATCTGAATTCAGTCCCTGGAACCTATGGCAGAAGGACAGAACCAACACCTGAAAGTTTCATCTGAGCTCCAAGTATGCACCATGGTATGCACGCATGAGCATGTGTGTGCACACACGCACACACACATATACAAATTAATTATTTAAAATAATTCCTGGATAAGTGACAGGCACATATCTGTAATCTCAGCTTGCAGGAGGTTGAAGCAGGAGAATCATGAGTTAGAGACCAGCCTGAATCACATGCATAATGAGACCATGCCTCAAAATTAAAGTTATGGGGTCTCAACTTATCCAGAAATATGTCCGCATTTAACTTATCATTGAAAAAAAAAACCTGTGATTGCAAAACATTTCTTGTCCTGGTTGACTATTAACCTTACATTTTTTTTAGAAACCAGATACTTATTCCTCTGAAACTGTTAGGATTTGACTTGCTTTAAATTTCTAACATTCTTAAAACCTGGCACAAACTGTAGATTACTATAATATTGTTATTGGACCCTAAATGATTTTTTACTTGTCAGTATATCATACTGACATCTTACCTTTTCAAGTTCTAAAGTATTAAAAAGAATAGGTAACCTTAGCACTGGTTTCTAATTAATCATTACAAATGATGATTCCAGTATAGTAGCATGCTGAGATCTTTGAACTCCATCTCATGTTGTGACTTTGGTTAGTACCAAACAGTCATACCATGTAAGACAGCATCATATCACCAAAGGCAAATCTGATTACACACACGTTAATGCTACATACCAAAAGTAGACTTTCTGTCTGCTATCCATCGCAGGGCCCAATCTGCCTTTTTCTTAACATATGGCATTGTTTCAATTGCATTAAATAAAAATTCCCTATAAAAATAAAAATACATGGAAAAATTATTCATTGTTTTTGTTAACTGGATTAAGTTTTAATAGTTTAATCAAAGACAATAATTGTAACTTTATGGTACACTACCAAATGTGTAGTTTCTCTATATTTTTGCATGTCCATAACTATAAATATTGAAATTAAAATAAAACTCAGTTAGTGATTTGGATATGGGCTGATATAAAAATCAGTTTAATGTAAATATTCAATTTATTAATACAATGTGCTAATGAAGTTTTAAAATACTATGAAATATCTTGTTCTATACAAGTTTTTTTAATCTAACATATTATTGATCAATAGAAAACACTATACTCATGAACTTCCTATATGTGAATAATTTTTCTTTAACACTATTTTCGGAATAAATTCGGCTCTTAACATAAGCAACAGGTTAAATCTTTTGAAATAAAAGCCCAGCAGTAATACCTTTTCTTGGGATCTCTGATGTAAGTGTCTATTAGTAAACTGTACATCTCTGAGTGAACATTCTCGATGAGAATTTGAAAGCCATAGAAACAGCGAGCCTCTGGAACCTGCACCTCCTGACTAAAGCGCTCCACCTAAGAAAATAAGGGAAACAGAAAGATCCAGTGTTGCAGGCTCTCACGAAACACTGGCTATACACTGCAAATCCAATGTGGATATCAGAATTGTCACTTGAAAACAATGTCTTTTCCAGCACTCAGGAATGGACAGGACAATGGACAGGAGAACAGTGAGTTCAAGGCCAGCCAGGGAAACATAGCAAGACCCCATTTCAAAAAATAAAAAAAGTCTGGGCTAGAGAGATGCTTCAGTGGTTAAGAGCACTAACTACTCTTGCAGAGGAACCAGGTTCGAGTCCTAGCACCCACATGGTGGCTAACAACTATCAATAACTCCAGTTCCAGGGGCTTCAACGCCCTCTTCTGGCGCCACATGTTTTGTATGACACACGTACACTTACATACATGCAGGCAAAACACTCATAGACATAAAATAAAAATAAATATATCTTTTTAATTTTTAAAAATAAATATTAAAAAATTAAAAAGTGGGCCAGTGAGATGGCTCAACCTGTAAAGGTGCCTGACGTAAAACCTAATGACCCAAGGTCTACCCCTACAGTCCACATGGCAGAAGGAAAAAACTGACTCCTGCAAGTTGTCCTCTGTCTTCCATACACATACCCTGGTATGCAATCCTCCTCCTGCCCCCCTGAATAAATAAATGAAATACAGTAATTTTTTTTTCTTTTTGAGACAGGGTCTCCCTGTAGCCCAAGCTGGCTTGGAACTCACTATGGACACCTGGCTGACCTCAATCTCACAGAAACTCACCTGCCTCTGCTTCCCAAGTGCTGGGATTAAAGGCATGTGAAAAATAAAAAATGAAAAACAAAAGTTGTCTGTTAAGAAACAAACAGGATACAAAGACCTATCAATCTTAACTTTCTCTTTTCTTCTGTGGTACCAAGGATTCAGCACAGGATCTTGCTCATGCTAGGCAAGCACTCTATCCCTGACCATATAACCCCAGCCTTTAAGGGTCTTAAGCAGTATTGTTTAGCCATCGAACCCTCCACAATAAATTAGCTGCATCTTCTTTTTAAAAAAATGCTGAAGACTGATTCCAGTGTTTTACTTATGCTAGGCAAGTACTATCCACTGAGCTAGACCCATAATTCCATGTAATGTATTCCTAAAAAATGACATGAATTTATCTTTTAGGTTGGAGACACTGCCCACACAGTGATTTTTGCTTTGTAGAATTTTTCCTAATAGTAGGGAGATCTGTTGAAGTTCTTCTGGTTCATCTTAGAAGCCCATACCTGTTTTCCATAACAAGAAAATATTCCTCCTAAAACTAATCATAATACAATTTTTGTTTTTTTTTTTCTGAGACAGGGCCTCCTGTAGCCACAGCTGGCCTGGAACTCGCCATGTAACCCAAGCTGGCCTCAATCTCACAGAGATCCACCTGCCTCTGCCTTCCAAGTGCTGGAATTAAAGGTATGTACCACCATGCCCAGCAATAAATAGAATTTTTAAAATTTTTTAAAATTTATTTTTAATTTATGTGTATGAGTGTTATGCCTGCATGTATTTAAGTGCATCCATGTTGTACAATGCCCATAGAGGCCAGAAGAGGGTGATGGATCTCCTGGAACTGGAGTTATTAGTCATCGTGATTGTTAGTCACCAGGTAGTTGCTGAGAACCAAACCCACGTCCTCTGCAAGAGCAGCCAGTGGTCTTAACCACTGAGCCATCTCTCCAGCCCTCATAATACAAAATTTTTAATGAGAAGTGAGAACCCAGTTCTACATAGAGCTCCAGACAGTTATTAAGAACAGGCTCTCTATTGGCTTTATTATCTGATCACAAAAATAAAGTTTGTGCACTCTGTGCAGTTTAGGGGTTTTTGTTTGTTTTTGTGGTGCTGAGGATAAAACGCAGGGCCTCTGGCATGCTAGCCAAGTACTCTCTATCATTCATGGTATGCAGGGGTTTTTTTGGGAGGGGTTGAGTTTTCTTTTTTCTTTTTTTTTTGGTCTTTTTTTGAGACAGGGTCTCCCTATAGCCACAGCTGGCCTGGAACTCACTATGTAGAGCAGGCTGGCCTTGAACTCACAGAGATCCACCTGCCTCTTCCTCCTGAGTGCTGGGATTAAAGGCACGGACCACCACACCTGGCATAGTATGCAGTTTTAACTGATATAATTTATGCTTACTTTCATGATATTTTGCTAGTCATATGACAGTTAACAAACTTTTCCTCTGAAATTTCATGAGAAAAAAAGACCCAAGATTTAGGTTTTAAGGCCTGGGGAGATGGCTCAATGGGTAAGAGTGTTTGCTGCACAAGTATGAGAATCTGAGTTTGGATTTCCTGGCACACAAATAAAAAGCTGGCTATAGCTGCATGCGCCTATAAACCCAGTTCTCAGAGAACAGAGGCAGGACTTGTTGGGTAGACAACCTAGCTAAAAAATGGTGAGTTCCAGATTTAGTGGAGACCCTGTCTCAAGGGAATAAGGCAGACAGCAACAGAGGAAGACACTCAGTGTCCTCTGGCCTCAGCCTGCACACGCACCTGCCTGCACAAATGCACTGACACACGCACACACACACAAAATAAAAACATTTTTTAAAAAGGAATTAAGCTTTATCTAGTCCATTTCTGAGACATCTTTTCTCAAGCTTCATCTAATGATTAACTTATTAACATTATCATCACTCAAGTGCTAAATAGGAACAAAAGTAAAGTAAAAATCTTACCAAATTTTCATTTACAATTCCATCACTGGCTGCAAAAAAGGCTAAGATGTGGGAGATAAAATACTTCTCATCTGATTTAAGCTTGTTCCAGTGAGGGAGATCCTTTGATAAGTCAACCTAGAATAAAACACTCCAATTTTAAAGTTAAGGAGAGATATACCATTACTAGTAATCTGTGCAGAAAAATTAAAAATAAAAATCAAACAAACATTATGTTAATAATAGTATATTATATTCAGAAAATTTGTCTAATTAGAAGGCTATAATTGTTCTTGCCAAGAGAGGGGGAATGGGTAAATATATGAGATAGATGTTTGTTAATGGGAGTGATTGTGTGTGTGTGTGTGTGTGTGTGTGTGTGTGTACACTTTATAACATCCTGATCTATATCTTAAACATATCCAGAAAAAAAAAATGTTTAAAAGAAAATAAAACATCCCTAGCATGTTCAAGGAGATGGGAGGAAGGGAGAAGGAAAGAGGGAGATAAAGAGGGAAGGAGGGAGCAAGGACATTTATGATTGTTTTGGCTAATTTAGTTGGCCAAGATATACTTTATTTTTTATTTTTTATTTTTATTTTATGTGTATTCGTGTATTGCCTGCATGTAGGTAAGTGCACCCATGTCATGCAATACCTACCGAGGACAGAAGAGGTCATCGGATCCCGTGGAAATGGAGTCATAGACAGCTGTTAGCTGCCATGTGGGTGGTTTTATAAGTATTAAAGATAGAGGCTGGAGAGAGGAGAGATGGCTCAGCAGTTAAGAGCACTGGCTGCTCTTGCAGAGGACCCAGATTCGATTCCCAGCACCCACATGGTGGGTAACAATCCTCCATAATTCCAGTTCCAGGGGAATCCGACGCCCTCTTCTGAACTCCACAGGTCACACGACACAGGTGCACTTACACACTTGCATGCAATACACTCATACACATAAAAATTTAAAAAACATTTTTAAAAAGTGTTAAAATTAATACATCTAGTGGCACTACACCAAATAAAGAAATGAACAAAGAGGGAAGGAGTTGAGAAGTAATGAAGCAAACTAATGACTCAGCAGTCATCGCTTTAACATTTTAATACAGTATTTACTATGGTGTTAGACAGAAAATTAAGCACCTGCTAACTAAGTATAGCTGCTATGTTACTGCTAGCTACTCTATTTTACCTAGATGTAATGTCAGGAAGACAACTACCTGGGATTTGAAGCAGTTTAAAGGAATGGCTTCTTCTAGAATAGAAATACCTTTGAAAATGTTTATTAGAACTAAGTCTTTGGAATTAAGAGAGAGATGTACCCTAAAGTTTGGCAAAATCTACAATTTAAAAATAGTCTTTATATGTACCTTACTGTCTTAGTTGGCTCTTGCTACTATAACAAATCAGCACAGACTGGATAGTTTAAAATATTTTGTTATTTTTATATGTATGAGTATATTGCCTACATGTAGGTATGTGCACCCATGTCATGCAATGCCCATGGGAGTAGAAGAGGGTATCAGATGCCCTGGAACTGTAGTTATAGACAATTGTTAGCTGCCATACAAGAGCAGCCAGTGCGCTTAACCAATGAGCCATCTCTCCAGTCCCTAGACGGATAGTTTAAAACAACGAACATTTACTTCCTGGACGTCTCGGGGCTGGAAGTCCAAGGGCAGGGTGCAAGAACAGCTAGATTCTTGAAGAAGACCCTCTTTTCTAGTTTACAGATGGGCGCCTTCTTGTCATATTCTTATTAAACAGAGAGGAAAATACTCTTCTCATGTTTCTTTTTATAAAGGCATTAATCTAATTCATGAGACCTCTGTCTTCATTACCCGATCACCTTCCATGGCCCAACCTCCAAACATCATCACTGGGGATCAATAGTTCAATATATGAATCTGGGGGAGACAAAACTTTTAGTGCATAACTCTTAGTGGCTTTTATTTTATAGAAATCTTTAAGTATGTTTCATCATAACTTCTTCATAAGATTTGAAGTATGTAACTGTCCTCTATAATATAAAATTCTGGTTTTGCTTTACTTTTAATTATTCTAGTAATTTCAATCTCTTTGACCTTAACAAAAAACTAATATTCTATCCTTTTAATCATTGTGCTCTTTTCTAAAACTCTTTTCCCACTATGTTTTAAGCACTTGCTGAGCACTCAATACATGCCACACATAGGGCTAAGTGTGCATCCAGGGATGAATGGGATTGGGAGGGGTACTGTTTGTTGTCACCTTATAAAATACATCTGTAGGGGCTGGAGAGATGGCTCAGCGGTTAAGAACACTGTTCTTGCAGAATACCAGGGTTCAAATCCCAGCACCCACATGGCAGCTAACAACTGTCCATAAGTCCAGTTCCAGGGATCTGACAACCTCCTTTGTCCTCCGCAGGCATTGCACGACACGGGTGCACTTATCTACATGCAGACAATACATACATACACATAAATAACAATAATAAAACATTAAAAATACTCAATTATTTAAAAAATACATCTGTAAAAAGTCAAGTTCCATTCTATAACAGGTTTAACTCAAGGACATCGTCCTAGTTCTCATATAGTATACTCTTGATACTAAGTTTTTATACTGTAATATATTTGCTCATAAATATTAAATTTGCCTCTTTAAAGACAGAGGTTCAAAATGTCTTATAAATTTTACTTACAGTACAATAGTGATGTTCTCTTCTGGAAACAGGCTTCATGCCTACTTTCATCTCATATGAGCCACATTTTCAATTTTACCATCTAAAGGCTGATTACAAACTAGCCGCTATAGTTTGGATCCTGAATGTTCCCCATAGGCCCATGTACTGTGGTACTATTCCTATAACTTGATTTGCTCAAGTATTTTTGTCATAGTAACAGAAAGCTAACATATACTAGCTGATTATCAGAATTGCCTGGCTGTCTTAAAAAATTTTCCCACACCTAGATCTTTGGCTTAAGAGTCAGGGTTTAACACTTGAGAATTAAGCTCAACCACTGATTTAAAAATAGAATTTAAGCTGATTAGCTGCTTTTACATAATTTGCTTAAATGAAAATACGTGGGACTAAAAATATCCTTGACTTCCCTTCAAAATACACATTTTAATCTTCTTACAAAATCTGTATCAACTTGTTTATTTTCATTTTCAAAAAGTTAGTGTTTCTTATTCATAGTGAAATATATATTACATTTGCTACAAGATGCAATGAATTACCAGAAACCCATATCACAAGTATGTTTTTTATCATGACAAACAAAAAGGCTATCTGTGCATGGTACCTGTTATCTGAACCATATCTAACAAAAGCTTTCTAAAAGCCACAGACAGTTAGGGAAAGTCAGGTGTGCAAAGCATCGTGACCTAGTATAAATATACTGGGTGTTTGTTTTGGTTTGGTGTTTTGTTCTATGTCAACTACAGCAAGAATGCTGACAACATAACAAAGATAGGCAAACAGGTAAAAACAGAGAAACTTCAGACACTGGTGCCTTTTTGAATTCTAAGTCCTCATACTTTGTGTTAAATAATAGTTTACATTTATTTAGTACAAAATACTATTTTATTTAAGTACAAAATACTATTCTAAATATTTCATTGATCCTCCTAACAACCCAATACGTCAGTTATCATAGCCTAATTTACCAATGAGGCTACAGAGAGAGGTTAAGCTAGTTCCAAAGACAGTATGTGGTAGAACAGGATTTGAACCAAGGCAGCCCAGCATCAGAGCCTGCATTCTTCATAGGGTGGGTTTCCACAGATATATTTGGTCTCTCTTTAAAAACTTTATTGATTGATTGGTTGATTGATTGATTCATTGATTGATTGATTGATTGATTGATTGATTGATGTGTGACTGTGTGGGGGGGAGAAAGAGAGAGAGGTAGGGAAGGAGGGAGGGAGGGAGGGAAGGAGAGAGAAAGAGAAAATGTGTGTGTGTACGTAGGTCAGAGGACAACTTTCTGGAGTTGGTTCATTCCTTCCACTGTGAGATCCAGGAATTAAATTCAGGTCATCAGCCTGCACACCAAGTACTTTTACCCACCAAATCATCTTGCTGACCCAGATTTGATCTCTTGACTGACAACAGACAGATAGATCAAAAAGTATCTATCTACATAGATATTTCTGTCCATAGACATAAAGATGCTAAAGGAAGATATATAAAGCAAGGCAACCCTTGGTAACACTAAGGTAAAACATGGCTGTGGATATCATAAACAATAAGAAATAATTGAATAATGAATATAATAATGATTTGTGTGTTTAATTAGACTACAGAGCAATCAGTTACATGCCTATTCTTACTAAACCAGCAAGTTCAACTCATTTCCAAGATGGAAAAAGTTACACTAAGTCATCAACAGCTGTCCTGCTTGGGAGCAGCTGTGGCAGGTTTTCTGCAGCTGGAAGCAGGGCTAGACTGTCAGTTCAATGTGGCAAGCTCAAGGTTGAGTGCACTACAGGGATGTTCAAAGTATTCATGTGCCTGCACCTTTGTGCAATCAGATATGGCTCTCAAGTTAACACAGGGTTCATAAGGTTTTCAGTCTTTCATTTTTAAATATAGCTGCAGTTTATTTATTCTTCTGACCATAACGAAACTCTGGTCTTAGGGCTGGCAAAATGGCTCAGCAGCATAAAGGTTCTTGCCACCAAGCCTGGTGGTCTGAGTTTGATCCCTAGAACCCACATGGTAGAAGGAGAGAACTCCCCCAAGTTGCCCTCTGATTAACACACGTATGCTGTTGTATGTATATGCACACACACACAAAATATTTTAAATGAGTAAATTTTATAAAAACTGTTCTTATTTAGTCATAGCAAACTAAGAGTCTATATATAAGAATAGAAAATGGTCTACAATATATTAGACTGAGGACTTATGGCAAAACCTTGCCTAAAAAAACAAAAATCTAACAGAATGATTTATCATTTCTTTGTACCAGGAAACATTAACAGACCTAGTCTAATTATAGTTAATCTCAGTCAATTCCAAGTCCTACCTAATTTAATGTATAAGTAAAATTTTTTCAATATGCTGTAAGACAGGAATTGAACACTGTACCCTAGGACATGAATGCTGATGCAGGTGATGCCACATACCTCTTCTGCTGTCCAGAAAGACGCCTGTGCTTGTTTATACATTTTCCAAATATCAGGGTACTGGATTGGAAAAATAACAAACCGGCGGGAACTCTTTCTTAGGAGTGGCTCTTCACTCAACCTCACTTCATTTTCCTTTGTATCAGAAGACAACTGCTTTAGAAAAACAAAATATGGACATTTTTAAAATATGGCCATTTCTTCTTTAGCCATATCTAAATATACATCCAGGAAAAATTAGGGAGGCAGCACAGCTTGGAGAAGTTGTGTTGAATCCTTTCAGTTACCTACTAGCTAATCATGTTTGGTGAGGTGCATGATTACAGGAAGTTGCCAAACATCTCTGAGCCTCACTTTCTGTAGTTGAAAAATTATACTGAATAAGATTTTTCTGATCATTTTAAAATGCTTTAAACAGCACCCAGTGCATAGCAGGCATTCAAAAAGTATTGTAGTCGGATGGGACATAGTGATAAACACCTTTAAGCCCAGCATTTGGGAGGCAGAGGCAGGAGGACCTCTGAGGGTTTGAGGCCAGCCTGGTCTACATAGCAAATTCTAGGCTAAGTGGGGCTACAAGACCACCCCGTCTCAAAAAATATATTGTAGTTATTGTTACTCTGAGGATTAGTACAAAGTTAGACCAACAAATTTTCATGGGAAAATTTCTAAGTTTGTGGACAAAATGTCCCTTCTGTGCCACCCTGATTTAGAATGATTCCGTGAGGGGCTAGAGAGATGGCTTAGCAGTTAAGAACACTGAATGTTCTTGCAGAAGACCTGGGTTCAAATCCCAACACCCACATGGCAGCTAACAACTGTATGTAACTCCAGTTCCAGGGAACCCGATGCCCTCTTCTGACCTCCATGGGCATTGCACAACACAGGTGTACTTACATACATGCAGGCAATACACACATACACATAAAATCAAAATAATATTTTTAAAAGAATTATACTGTGAATGAGCCACTGTTACAAACTACCTTTTAATTTTTTTCTAATTACTGAAATACTGTAATATGTACCTGAAATTTGTTATCAATAATGTATCACTATTTATTCATCTTAACATTTCCATATACCAAACTGTTATTCCTATTTATATGTCCAGATGATTCTTTAGTCAGAAGAGTTCTCATGTGTAAGGACACACTAACATGCATGCTCTCGGCCAAGCTAACGGCTGTCACTTCTATCAAAGGACTGCTACAAAGAGCTTATATACATAAAGTATTATGCACATTCTCATCTGCTTTATACTTTTATACTTTTTAAATGATTTTGTAATTGACTATTGGAAGGTTCTGATTAGCCTTTTAAAGGTTGTTCCTACATTCAAGTAATTATTATAGTGGTTGATTGATCAGTCGGTACTGTCTCATAACTGTTCTTATAACTGGAACTTTCACTCATGAATAATTATAGAATGACTGGAGAAGTTTTAGAGTGAGACACTCAAGGCTCATTATGAGTGGCACACACCTTTAATTCCAGTACTCTGGAGGCAGAGGCAGGTGGATCTCTGTGAATTCAAGGCCACCCTGAACTAGGCCAGTCAGGACTACATAGCAAGACACTATCTCAAAAAGAAAAAGAAAGACTTGGTAGAAGCAGAAGATTGCTAGTTCAAGGCCAGTCTGGGCTACACAGTAAGACTCTAAAGGAGGGAAGAAATGAAGGAGGAAAGGAAAGATGGAAGAAGGGAGAGAGAAGGAAAACAGTGAGATACTCATATATAACTTGGACCAAACTGCAAAGGCAGAGATTTGTGTGTGCGCATGTGTGCATGTGTACAAACAAATGTGCATTAGGAGAGGAGAGAAGAGTCAATGTCAGGTATCTTCCTCTATCTTTCTCCTCTTTGTTTGGGGGGTGCAGGGAATAGGTCTCTCACTGAATCATGAGCTCACTGATTGGCTAGACTGGTTGGCCAGTAAACTCTGGAGATCCACCTGTCTCTGTCCCATCCCCAGGGCTGGAGTTATAGACATGAGCCAGCACACCAGGCTTTTGGATGGATGCTGAGAATCTGAGCTTAGGTCCTCATGCTTCCTCAGCAGGCACTTTGCAGATTGAGCCATATCCCAGCTCAATCAACAGACATTTTCAAACCATGTGGCCCACATTGATCTTATAGATTCTTCTAGATTATGCTTTTATGCTATCCTGCATTTTCTTTGTTCTATGTATTATATTACTGAAGTATCATTTCTGGGCTAGAAATCTCTACCACCACTCTATTTGCTACAGGGAATTCTATAAGTTGAGAAGGAAAGCACAAGGAGTAGCATTTTGGCACCAAGCATCCTGGTCCTGAATAATTTTTACTTGCTGATAAATAATTGACCAGTGCCCAGAGTTCTGAAATTGTTTGATAAGCACCTTTAAATGTGGATGAAAGTTACATTTTTATATACATTCTTCTTGTTCTACCTTGACAAAATATAATATAAAAATAAGGGTATATTAGTACTCAAGAAGAGTATCAATGATATTAATTCACAAAGGATTAAGAGAAGAAGCTTGATTAGGAAGGTATTATTATCATGTGAAGAGAGGAGGGTTAAATATAAACCTTTGAGCTGGGTCAGAGTTGGCATATTTCAAAATACATATTTTAATAAACTTTGAAGAGGTTCATGTAGGGCTCTATAGGGTGCCCTTGGCAGACCTATGGTAAGGAACCACACTTTAGAAGAACAGTTTTATTGTTGTTTGCTTTGGGTTTTGAATTTTTTTTTTTTTTTTTTTTGGTTGAGATGTATCTTACTATGTAGCATAAGATCCTCTGTCTCAATCTCTCCAGTGCTGGGATTCCAGATGTATGCAACTTACCTTCATGGAGTTTTCCAAAGCTTTTCAGTTTTCATAGAAACATACTTCTTTCAATACTTATATTTAATTGGTTCATATAACATTGCACTAAATAAAAAATATTACAATATAATAGGATCTGGTATAATAGGATTGGAACTAAAGAAATCTGATCCTGGTAAGGTGCAACTCCAACAGTGCAAACAGAAGTAAGTGGGTACCTACTGCTAACCATATGCAGTCTAAAGCCTATGACTATCCATATTTTACATGGTTGATAAATAGTAAGACTGACTAGTAGCAAGGTGATTAAAAGAACCACTGATAAATATACAAAGAAATTGTTGACTAAGTCAGATATAAATCTTAACTTTCATCTATATCTGAATTCAAAACTGTTCTGTCAAGTCTTATCATTCCATTGACTTTATAATTTTATAAATATTAACTTAAAAGTATGCTATCAGATAAAAGCAAATTTATCAATTGGTGATGTACTTATGATTTTGTTTGGAAAATGGGCTTGGGTGTTAAAGGTCATGGAAAGGCCTGGGGATGTAAATATATATGAATTTTGCCATAGCTATTTTCCTGTAACCAATTCTGAAACAATTGCTTTGCTACTTTAAAATAGCTCATTGTCATCATTTTGATGGGAAAAAAAATTTAACTTTTGGATTCTAAAGTATGTACTCCATATCTTAATTTGATCTGGTTAGTTGAGCATGTGGATTTTGCATACTAAATGGAAATTAAGAAATTAATTTTTAATATTTTATTATTTTTTAAAATCTTTTTATATGCATGAGTGTATTGCTTGCATGTAAGTGCACCCATATCATGCAATGCCTGCAGAGATCAGAAGAGGCTGTCAGATCCCCTGGACCTGGAGTTGTGGACAGTTATTAGCCACCATGTAGGTACTGGGAACCAAACCCAGGTCCTCTGCAAGAGCAGCCAGTGCTCATAACTGCTGAGGCATCTCTCCAGCCCCAAGAAATTAAATTTTTAAAAAGCTTCAGAGGACTAAAGGCGTGCGCTACCACACCTGGCTACGCCTTTAGTCCCAGCACTCCAGAGGCAGAGGCAGGCGGATCTCTGTGAGTTCAAGGCCAGCCTGGTCTACACAGTGAGTTCAGGTCAGCTGAGACTACAGGAAGACCCTGTCTCAAAAAAAAAAAAAAAAAAAAAAGTGGCCTACTTTGATATACAACATTTTGGCACCTGGCTCTAACATGCAGACTATAGGGCACCACTGAAGGTTTTTAATCAGGCAGGCAGTATTATTGGATCTGTGTTGTAAGATCACTTGTAGAAATGTGACATGATTTGAAGAGAAATTGGAGGTAGAAAGAAAAACTTAAAAATTATGCTACCCATCTCTTGCCTCTTGTCTTCTGATATCCACATATGTGCTATGGCATGCATACATACAGCCACCTACAAACACAAATAATAAATAAAAAGTTGCCAGACATGGTGGTCCATTCCTTTAAACCCAGCACTCAAGAGGCAGAGGCAGACAGATCTCTGTGAGACTGAGGCCAGCCTGGTTTACACAGCAAGTTCCAAGCCAACTGGGGCTACAGAGAGACGCTGTCTCAAAAGAAACAAAATAAAAAATAAGATTTCTTTAAAAATCGAAAAGAGCTGTTCTTGCTAAAAATGTTCAGCCCCAGCAACTATATGATTTTAACAAGAAAAAAGAGGAGGCACATAAAGAAGATGCTTCCTATTTGGAGAACACCTGACTAATCAGGCTGAACTCTTGCTTCTCACATTACATGTTTAACAAACTTGAACCTACTAACCCAAACACCAATAACAAAAAGCTACAAAGTATCTATTGTTGAGATCAGGTTATACCCTACTGAGTTATTCTATATTGCAAAAAAAAGGGGGGGTGTCTAAGGCTGTGCCTTGCCATAAGAGACTCCATTTTACAGATAGCTTTTGACTGCATTTTGAGGGTGGAGGATGACTGTGTTCCTGGATGGACAAATAACACCATCTGTCCAGCGCCACCCCTACAGCACAGACTGATAAATGATTTATTCCTGGTGTAAATTCATTGAAGTGAGTTGAAACTGTAGGGGAACATGGGCATCTTAAAATCTTATCAGGGGGAACTGGAGAGATGGCTCAGGGGTTAAGAACACTGGCTGTTCTTGCAGAAGACCCAGGTTCAAATCCCACATGGCAGCTAACAACTGTCCGTAACTCCAGTTCCAGGGGATCCTACAGCCTCTTCTGTCCTCCGCAGGCATTGCATGACATGGGTACACTTACCTATATGCAGGCAATACACACATATACATAAAATCAAAATAATAAATAAAATATTTTCTTTAAAAAATCTTATCAGGGAAACCAGGCCTAAGAACTTATCAGACATGCCAGACTTGGGAAAGGGTGTAACTTTCTCACACAGATCCCATAAAGTGGTAGACATCTAGCACTGTGACGGTAATGGTGCCACATCAACCTCATCATCTGCTACCTGGTGTGTGCTTCAAGGTTAGAGAGGCACAGAACTCTCGATTGTCCCTGGGGCTTCAGCTTGTCTCAGTCCCCCACTGTTGACACAATCTACTTGACTGCCCTCCGCTCTTCCACCTGCTTGCCCATCTGGACCTAAACCAGCCACTTCCTCTTCTGACCCAGTTCTGCCCTCTTTATCTCTGTAGCTGACTCGCAACCCTGACTCCTGCAGCCTGATATCTATAGCCACAGCTCCTTCAATGTGGCTGATTCTGGGTTTGTTGTTTTACCAATCCTGACTCTACTTGCTTTTCTCTCAGCCCACTTCTGAAATCTCTTGAACACACCCTCTTTAACTTTTTGTAAACTGCATATATGCAAACAGATATATTTACTGTGTGCTGTGTAGTAAGTGATATGAGTTAATAACATTAGTAAATAAGATTGGAATAAAAGAACTTACATTTGCCTTGGCCAGATTACCAAGGTAAGCAGGAGTATCTGACAAATTACTACCACTGAAACCACTGCACTTTGTTTATTGTCATTCAATAAACTTTGATATTGTAGAAAGACACAAATATGTTCATCTGAGCTTCTGGCATAGCACACCCATGACAATCTATAAGGTCAAACGAATCAATAAAAATGAATTTAGTTTCACGATGTTCAGTAGACAACTGAACATATAACTATGGCACAGGCATGACGGTAATCCGATCAATCATTACTAAAGGAATGGATTATCCAGGGAGAACCTATAGGAAACATGAAGACACTGAGAACTTAGAATGTTCAAGAATGCTATTTAGAACTGGAGATGTAGCTGAGCTAATAAGAGTGCTTGCTTAGCACGCACAAAGCCCTGGATCCCATCTCCAACAAAACATAAACTGAGCCCACAAGATAGAGACAGAAGAAGCAGAAGTTCAAGGTCATCTTCAGCTACATAGTGAGTTTGAAGGCCACCCTGGACACACGTGGCCTTGTCTCAAAAAGATGAAAGGGGAGTATGGAAGAGAATGCCAACATGTAAAGGACAGAAGAAAGAAGGGAACCCAGGTAGGATGAAAACGGACTGAAACAGATCAGGATAAACAAAAGCAAAACCAGAAGTGATCTGATTTGGCTAGAGTCAACAAATGGGAGAAATTCTACAAAGGATTCAGACTCTGGGTGTCAATCAGGCTAAGAGGGTAGGACTTGATCTTGTAGGCAAAGATTTTCAGACATCTGGTAGCATCCAGAGGAACATACTCCAACTCTCCTTACTTGTCCTCAGACCACAATTGCTGACATTCATTGTGGGACACACTTTGAAACTGATCCCTATGGATAATCATGGTGTGCTTCTGAATGGGAATAAATATAGCTAGAAGTGGCAATTGGAAGACTAATCAAATATTTCATGTGTAGGATGAATTAGAAAAGAAAAATAGATTAAAAAAAAAAAAAACTGGTTTCAACCGGACTTTGGCAGCTGGATGAGAGGGGCTTTTACTGTTGTTTTGTTTGATAGTTGTTTTTTCTTGAGTTGAGAGAAACTTTTGTAAATTTGCACTGGGGCAGTGTTATCAAAGCAATAATTTAATGAAAGACTGATTTGGTAACAGTAAATAGGTAAATAGCAGATAAGACTCAAAATAGGGTTGTAGGCTGCACACTAAGTTGTAGCTGCAGAAGTCTGAAATGTTAAGAATCTGAAATTAAGCAGGGTAGTAGGCATTCCTTAACAAGATTCCACCATCTTTTCTAAACTCATGCTTTTAGTTTCTTCTTAGTTTGTGGTCATCTGGTCTGCAGAGTTCTCCCAGCATGCACAGATAAAGATCCAGGTCAAGATTCCTCAATAAGACTTACAGTGACTTAATCTAGGCTGGCATTCTCTATTCTCCAAGCTCTTGTCCTGCCTTCCATCACTTCATGTGGTTACCTATTACATTTCTTTTCCTATACAGTATCTGTATGCTGTTATAGTCATCTACTTCTTAAAGGTGTCATTTTCATTCTTGTATCTCCATCAAATCTGAAAAAACAGATGGAACACCAGTCCAGGTGCAATGACTTGGGAGTTAAAACTCAACTCAATATTACTGAGTATTGAGACTGTCATTCAGTTTTTTCTGGCATAACCTTGACAGAAACTAATAAAAGTTATGAACCTCTTTCTCTGTATACTCACATGTACACATCATACAAAAATCTACATATAACCTGAGAAAACTCAAAAAGCCCATCTATGGACCCTTTAAAGAAGAATTTCTTAAAAATAAGTACACTAGGAACATCTGAAGTACTTGTTACAAATGCAGACCCAGACCCAGACCCAGACTCATCCCAAGAGACTTGAATTCTTAGGCCCATGGTGTAGGCCCAGCAATTTACAGTTTTTGCAAATTATTCCAGATGATTCTGATGCACACGGCCCATGCTGCCCTATCACAGCCAGAAAAGCAAAGTGTTTAAAGAATCTTTGCATCTCAACTTAAAACTTTTTGACTGAAATATTCACTAAAATTCATTCTAGTCTAAAATTCTGCACTGTCTTTGTGTATATCCTTAAGACAGGAATAATAAAAGTTACTTTCCAAGTATTAAGGCAGAATGACTACGAGTGTCATTGGCAAAACAGAAAAATTTTCACCTGAGTGGGGAATTTGCTTTTTTTGTTTGTTTGTTTGGTCTTTCTGTCTCGTCGCAGCCCCAGCTGGCCTAGAACTCATTATGTAAACCAGGCTGGCCTTGAATTCACAGGAATCTGCCTACCTCTGCCTCCTGAGTGCTGGGATTAAAGGCATGCACCACTACACCTGACCTGAGTGGGGAAATTTGTATTAAGTGCAAATGTTTCAAGGAGGAAAAAAAATGGAATCATAATTACTAAATGTTTAAAAAAATAAGAATAAAAATTGGAATCTACAATTTGGCCAAGAGATGCCAGGCTGCCAGCTGTGGAAGCACGACTTTAATTCTAGCACTTGGGAGGCAGAGGCAGGTGTATTTCTGAAGTTTTCATAGTAAAAACCCTGTCTAAAAACAAAACCACGGAATTAAAACACAAAGAAATGCCAGGCTAAGCATGAATGTCTGTGAGCTGAAACTTTTATGTACCCTCCAAATTGCCACAATATTTAATTCAAGATGCCACGCATATAAACGGACTCAAGTACAAAATATGTCTCTTATGCCAAATGATTTACAAGTATTTGCAAAACAGTAGGGTGTTGGAAATTGTAATGATTTAAATTGCGCTATAGCCCTATAATTTGTCTCCCCCCACCCCATGAGGACCGAACCCAGGGCCTTGCTCTTGCTAGGCAAGCGCTCTACCACTGAGCTAAATCCCCAACTCCCCTATAATTTAATAAACCTCAACGTTGCTACATATTTCTGCTAGCACACAAGCAAAGAGGACGAGCAAGTTAATTTAGATTTATTAAGCACCTACAACTTTCGTGGCACTTTGCATGAAACGCTTTGCTTTATTCTTTGAGAAGTATCACTTCCACTATTTAATTGAAGAAACCCACATCCCGGAGACTCAGTTAAGTAATTCGGTCCGAGCAAAACTGCCTCCTAATTTTCTCGGTTGCTGTGATGCTTTCTCGTCCCCTCTCCACCTGTGTCAATTTCCACACGCGCTCCCCCACTCTTTTTAACTGCTCAGAGATGAAATGCATCTCTCCAGCAGATCCGTCGCAGCCCTCCTTCCTGGTCTGGATCTCACTCGCCAGGGCTCCAGAACAAGGAGAGTGGAGAGCTCGGGTTGGGTAAAGCAGGCGGTGCGGCTTTCCGGGATCTGAACCTCAGAGCTCTGTCCTAGGCCGGCCCGAGGCCGGGCAGCGGAGCGTCAATGCTCGCTCTGCGCTTCCTGGGCTCGCTGCGACTCTAGCCTGCGACGACCGCGCTTCCGGCCTGCACCTGCTGGCGACAATAAAATGCCCTACAGCGGTCCTGCGACTTGCAGGTTCCCCGCAGCAACTTGTATTCTAAAGGCCAGGCGTGACCCTGGGGCGGAGGATGAAGCGGCAGCCACATTTACCTCATCCTCCTCAGGCCTGGCCGCTTCCGGCCCTTCCCGGTCGCCCATCGCGCAGACTCCGCCAGAGCTACCAGAACTGAGAAGCTGAGCGCCTCAGGCCTATACCAACCAGGTCTGGAACCAGCTGGCCTGCAAATATGCACAGTGAGACCCGCCTCCAGCTCTGGGACTCACCCTGCCGCACCGGTCCGGCTTTCGGGCCTGCCCACTGAGTGTCTACCTACGCCGGTTCCGCCTCGCTCCGCTCCGCCCTGCACCCCAGGGATCCGCCTAACCTGCCAGCCCCGCCCACACCCGGAGATCCGCCTATCCTTCCGGTCCCGCCCACACCCAGAGATTCGCCTATCCTGCGTCCCAGAACCAATCGGGTTGAGCCTGGCGGCTCCTCATAAGCCAACCTTGGCTTTGCCAGCTCCGCCCCTCGCTTCAAAGACCAGCCTAACTCTGCGGGGCCCCGCCTGAGAGACCCACCTACCTCCGCCGGCCCTGCTCCGCTCCTCAGGGACTCGCCTACTTCGGCCGGCACCCTCCACTTCACTGAGCAGACCCCTACTCCACGCCTTCAACTTGCGCACATCTCCATTGAAACAGCCTGTTACAAGCCCTAGACCCGGCCAGTCCACCGGAAGTCTCCAGCGTTAGGTGGCTCAGCCCACGCCTGCTGCCTGCACCTCACTCCAGCGGCCCCGCCTCTCACCTGCCCTCTGGAGGGGCCCCGCCCACCCTCCGCCGGCCCCCGCTTCCTCCACTTTTCTTCCACTGGCGTTTTTCCTGAACCAGCCCGAGCTGTCCTGCGGGACGTTGCCTGGGACCTCCTGTCCGTCTTGCCTGCCTCAGACCCTGCTCACCTGGTACGGACAGGGTATCAAGCTGCGGACATGCCAGGGCGGCATTGCCTAACTAGCCCTCGAACTCCAGGAAGAAGGTGGCACTTAGTCTGTCCTGAGACACTGTCGCCCACCGGATGAGATGGGGAGAATTGAGCTGGGAGGGGAAAACTGTGTGTGTGAATGGGACTTGAAAATGAGGAAAAATTGCTATATTCAGGGAAATATTTGAAACCTCTGAAATTGTGTAAGAACTAACTTTTAGTGGTATTGATTCACATTCCACAAAGTGGCGGGCCCCATACTCCCTAAGCACGTTATGTGAATTAGCTTCTTTATTTAATAATCATGACATCTCTTCAATAGATATTGCCATTTCCCTCACGTTATTAAGAAACTGAACCTTAGGGTAAGTAACTATCCTGTCAGCCCCGCCCACACCCCAGAGATCCGCCTATCCTGCCCGCCGGATGGTCCACACCCCACATATTTTGACACCTAGTCAGAAAATGGTGAACGCCACAGTCTCCTGGCTACAGGGTCTTTACGAGGCCAAAAGTGATAGAGAGATGCAGCACTCTCCTGTACTATAATGACAAAAGACAGTGGCTACTGATAGTGGCAATGATTTGGTTGAATTACTGTTATCCTGATTTCACATAAAAAGTTTTCTAATATAAAACAGGAGCTGGAGCTGTAGCTTGGTGCTAGACCACTTGCCTATCATTTACAAAGATCTGGATTCAATCCCCAGAACCACCCCCATCTCCTTATAAACTCAGATTAAAAAAATACGAGTAAAACAAAAATTAGGTGGAAGAGGAATTGGGCATGGTGTTGGCACACCTGTAATCCCAGCACTATGGAGGTAGAGGCAGGAGGATCCTGAACTTTAGATCAGCTTGGGATACATAATGAGACCCCATCTGAAAAAAACAACAACGAAAAAGAAGTAAAAGTAGATTGTTGAAGGAACCTTGCCATGACGAACAACTTGCACCTGTTTTGTGGTTCGCCATCACACTGGAAAATGACTGAAACTCTATCTAAAACCTACCCTAGAGTGGGGGCTACCCTTTCTTAAAGCAGCATGATCAAATGCTGAATGAAATACTAGTCATATATATTCTGAGAGGAAACTGAGTCTCACAGAAGTTCGATAGCCATAGGTTATATGACAAACCAAGAGTGAGAATTCAGTTAATTAAAGCCATCAAACAATTTGTCTGAAAGTAATTCATTTTTTTTCTAAAGAGTGATTCTGCATGAAGACACAGAAGAGCATTCCAATGCAGACAAAATGAGACTGTTTTAATACTCCCTGAAATCTGTGGTCCTGGAAGGACATGAATTTTAGCATGGCACAAAGTTTCACAGTGTTTCCTCAAGTTATGAACATAATTAATCCCAAGCAATCATTCCTTCCCAGAGCACAGACACAGAGAGAACCCTTCGTGCAGTGCTTCCTGATGCTTTCTCACAACAACTTCATTCTCTGTTCAGATGAAATCTCTCCAATTTGCAGAATAGCATAAGGCCTGTTCATAGATCAAACAATCCCCTTCAACCCTTCACTCAGCTGAGTGTGGACACTGGACAGAACTTCCTGTCTAATACCCAAAACAGCAACCTGATTCAGCCTACAATGCAAAAAGGGAAATGTTTTCTTAAATATTTATTTGTATTATTTTTACTTATGTGTACATATGTGTTAGGGTGTGTGATGGCTAATCCTGGGCATCAACTTGACTGGATCTGGGATTAACTGAAATGAAAGAGATCTTTTTGATTGGATCATCTGAAACTGGAAGACACACCCTAAATGTGGGTGTTACCTTCTGATGGCAGCCCATGTAAAACACCAAGGCAGA